ATATATATATATATATATTATTTCATTTCCATTTTGTATGTTGGAAGTACTGAAATAACTAAAAATAAATAGAAGTAAAACTTAATAAAAAGCCTATATAGACATAATAAAAAAAACGAATAAAATGACAACATTACTACAACTGTAACTAAAACTAAAATAGATAACTAATACAAATCAAAGTACATTAGTTCATCAGTAATCCTAAAAAAATAACACTGAGGCAAACACACATGCTAAAATAACAACAACTTACTGACACATAGTAAGAAACAGATTATTAAAAAAAACAAACAGAAGTGGAAATATATGTATGTGTGTGTGTGGTTGTACATACACATATATGTAGTTGTTTTTTTGGTGTTTGGCTTAGTGTTATGTTAGAATCATTATTATATTCTTATACCTTTTGTTCTTTAATATTTTGAATTGTTTTTAGCTTTATTTTTGTTTTTCATTTAAATGTTAAGTTTTGAAATTTCGTTGTATGCATTTGTCATTTTTATTTAATTTCTTTATTTTTAAAATGTGTATAAGTAGTATTTATAAAGTTTTTAGTTTTGGATCTGTTTTTAGTTGTTTTAATACTACAATTGATTGCTTCTGTTGTCCTCATTTGTAAGTCAAGCATCTGCTAAATGACTAAATAAAATAAACGTGTTCTTTATACAGAATAACATTCTATTAATTGTCCACTGAATTATGTAATCACAGTAGAGCACCGTTCTAGCGTGAAGGCGTGAATTAGCAGAAGGCGAACAATTGTTTCGCGTTCAGTGTGAAAGCACTGTTCGTCAGCGATTCGCCTCGCTTTTTCGCACAGCGCTCTGTGTGGAATGGCCTTTAATAAAGCACTATCTTCGGTGTAATACTCTCTTCTCACCATTAAGCATTTCTGGGGCCATCCAGTATGGGTTCCCCACCACTGTGTAGCGTTTCTTACGGTCAATCCGTCTAAACAGTCTTTTCTTATTGGTTGGTTTGTCAGGGGGTGGCTGCTTGACCTTATCCTCCATGATTAGACGAGATAGACCAAAATCTGCCACCACGACGGTGTTGTCCTGCAGGTGTCAGACAAGTAGAGCGAAAAAGAACAGATGTGCAGAAATGTTTAGCATGACAGTGCTAGTTCTCTGATACAAATTTATGAGTACAAAGGAACCCTAAAAATAAAAAAAATACACAAAATTAAAAAAAATGCAAAGAAAAACTAAAAAATTCAAGTAGGGTGTAAAAGAAAGATCTTAACATCAGAAGTAAATCCTAGCTTTAAACTATTTGCGCTTGTCTAAATATTTAACTAAGCTCCAAAGGCATGCCGTTTGTTCTCCTAAAAAGATTCTTTAAATAGCTTGTCATAAGTGATTCACTCAGGATATGTGAAACACTGAGGTCAGTCAGGGTCAGACAGCATTTCCTGTCTTATCTTCTTTCCACTAACTAAACAAGTGAGCAACCGTTAAAGGGGTCATATGATGTTGCTAAAAATGGTGTATTTGGTGTAATGAAATGTGTTTATGCGGTTTAAGGTTAAAAAAACACATTCTCCACATACTGTACATTATTGTTTCTCCTCTATGCCCCGCCTTTCTGAAACGCGTCAATTTTCACAAAGCTCATCGGTCTGAAAAACGAGGTGTGCTGTGATTGGCCAGCTATCCAGTGCATTGTGATTGGCCAAATACCTCAAGCGTGTGACGGAAATGTTACGCCCCTTACCCTACTGCGATGCCCTGTCCGGCCGGAACGACGAGACAAAAACATTCAAACCCATTATAAACGAGGCATTTGTTGCATGCAGTGAGGACATAATTACGGATTATAATGACTTATACTGTCTTTTCATGCGTTGTGTTGCATCGCGCCGCGTAAACATAAAACTATGTCTGCATTTGTGATTGGAAAAATGACAAACAACAAGCGCTACTCTACACTGCTCAAAACTCACATTTGAATCGTCAGTGGCAAATTCTTTAAATATAAAAAACGCACTTGCAGTCTGCGAGTCAGAACATTGTAGTCTACTCTACCAGGATCAGGAAACAGTCCTCCATAAAATGCACTGGACACATCTGAATATTTGGGTTAAACTGTTCTGGAACAGTGTTGTAAATACAACTTAACCACTGATTTCTAGTCGTGTCTTCTTTTGGAAGACCAAACAAAGTAGTTTCCCTTTCACAACGAAACAGCGTCACACACCGCGGCTTTGAGTGAGCGGAGGCCGGAGGCCTAGAGTGAGCAGAGGCCGGCGGGCTTGAGAACGGTGTGGCCGGCGGATTCGACAAAGGAGCTGGCTTGCGGCAACCACATGTGACAACCCCGGGCTGGACTCCGTTTCGTCCACGGTGAAAGCCGATCCGGCGAGCCACAGCGCAAAGTTGATGTATTTCCTCAGCGACCAGCACGGATCAGATCCAGACATGACGAAGCAGATATCATCCTCTTTTGGAAGACCAAACAAAGTAGTTTCTCTTTCACAACAAAACACACAGCGCCTTCACGACATGGCGGCGGCGGCAGCAACAACAATACTACAGCGAGAATAAAAGTTACGCCTTCTTTCTTTGCGTGAACATTTGGGCGGTGTTATGCAAATCTTTCCACATCGTGACGTAGACATGTGGGGGCGTGTTAGAACGAGCCATTTTAGGTAGGTGTGGTTGACTCTTAACTTTTATAAAGAATATCTCTTTGGATTTGAGACTTTAGTCTTTGCAACTTTACAGATCTTCTTTATGCACCAAGAGCTTGTAACACTCCAAAGAGTTAACTAAACAATCCTCGAGTTTGAACAGATCTTTACCCTTCACTTAGGTTTCTCTCTCCTGCTCAAGTGTTATTACATAACTTGTTTTTGGGTGCTTGTCTACTTTAGCCATTTTGTTTGTGCTGACACAAGTCTGTCAGCTATTCTCGATTATGAAAACCTGTTTCTAGGCCCTGGGCTCCCCAAGCAAGGCCAAGTAAATGTAGACTTTGATCCGAGTTAATATGTGGAATGGGTGAAACTCCTCCCGTACCAGTTTGATCAGGCAGTTGTGAGAGTTGAGATCTCGATGTATGATGCTCATTGAATGCAGATATGCCTGAAAGAATAAGAGAATAAAATCAATCAGATGAGATGGAAAAAGAGCTTGTGTATGAGCAGAATGTGGAAAGACAGAAATGCATGAGAAATCTACAACCTCTTGATCACCACCACCACAAGAAGTACTAAGACAAAAACTAAAATGATGCATCAGCAAGACACAACAAAAGCTCCTGCTAAACAGGAAGTTGCTTGTCTGTCTTCTCAACTACTCAGACAGTTCTTAGTTGAGATGTACTTGCTGTTGGAAATTAAAGTAAAACTGTGTCCTAACCAGGTGTGATGTTTTTAGTAGCAAGTAAAACAATTTATGATAGATGATTGATGACTTTAAAGTAAGCGTAACCTATTAAATATTTATCATTGACTGCTATATATCCAGTAATGGCTGATAGCAATTAATAGAAAAGGTGCCAATGTTGGCCGATAACCAATATGTTGCAGATATATTGTGCATTCCATATTAGAACACATTTAACGTGGAATAAAATCATGAACCAATTATTTTTTACAGTGGGCGGGGATGCCCAGTGAGACAATAGAAATCGAAATCAAATCTCTGTCATAAATGTCCTGATGTGCTTAGTTTAGGATAAAAAAAAAAAACACACACACACACACACACACAAGACAGAGTTCATATTGCTTGTCGATTTATGGTTGGGAGACCTCCCTCCCATTTCTGAAATGTTACTCCATGGAGACATCACAGGTTCATCGTTTAACTGGATTAATGAATTCGGACACAAAGTGTTGATACTAGTATTTTTGCTCCTCTAATGACCCAATGCAAAATTATAGTCCCGGTTTGCTATTGGTTGACAAAAAGATAGTCCCACCCCAAACTCATGCCAGTGGTTGAGCCAATGTTTCTGCATCAGACTGGTTGTGGCACTAAAATAACAACATGTTGATAGCACAAAAGCCAATGTTTACACTTCACAGGCAAATCAACCTACTTAAGTCTTACTTTTAGTCTCTGAATATTAAACTGGTTTGGAATTTTTTTTTTAACATCTAAAAAATTACGTAACCTTTAAATTGTCCTGTTTTATCTCACCATTTCCTTTAAAGTATGTATATATACAGTGGGGCAAAAAAGTATTTAGTCAGCCACCAATTGTGCAAGTTCTCCCACTTAAAAAGATGAGAGAGGCCTGTAATTTTCATCATAGGTATACCTCAACTATGAGAGACAAAATGAGAAAAAAAAACCAGAAAATCACATTGTAGGATTTTTAAAGAATTTATTTGCAAATTATGGTGGAAAACAAGTATTTGGTCAATAACAAAATTTCATCTCAATACTTTGTTATATACACTTTGTTGGCAATGACAGAGGTCAAATTAAAGTAAAACTGTGTCCTAACCAGGTGTGATGTTTTTAGTAGCAAGTAAAACAATTTATGATAGATGATTGATGACTTTAAAGTAAGCGTAACCTATTAAATATTTATCATTGACTGCTATATATCCAGTAATGGCTGATAGCAATTAATAGAAAAGGTGCCAATGTTGGCCGATAACCAATATGTTGCAGATATATTGTGCATTCCATATTAGAACACATTTAACGTGGAATAAAATCATGAACCAATTATTTTTTACAGTGGGCGGGGATGCCCAGTGAGACAATAGAAATCGAAATCAAATCTCTGTCATAAATGTCCTGATGTGCTTAGTTTAGGATAAAAAAAAAAACACACACACACACACACACAAGACAGAGTTCATATTGCTTGTCGATTTATGGTTGGGAGACCTCCCTCCCATTTCTGAAATGTTACTCCATGGAGACATCACAGGTTCATCGTTTAACTGGATTAATGAATTCGGACACAAAGTGTTGATACTAGTATTTTTGCTCCTCTAATGACCCAATGCAAAATTATAGTCCCGGTTTGCTATTGGTTGACAAAAAGATAGTCCCACCCCAAACTCATGCCAGTGGTTGAGCCAATGTTTCTGCATCAGACTGGTTGTGGCACTAAAATAACAACATGTTGATAGCACAAAAGCCAATGTTTACACTTCACAGGCAAATCAACCTACTTAAGTCTTACTTTTAGTCTCTGAATATTAAACTGGTTTGGAATTTTTTTTTTAACATCTAAAAAATTACGTAACCTTTAAATTGTCCTGTTTTATCTCACCATTTCCTTTAAAGTATGTATATATACAGTGGGGCAAAAAAGTATTTAGTCAGCCACCAATTGTGCAAGTTCTCCCACTTAAAAAGATGAGAGAGGCCTGTAATTTTCATCATAGGTATACCTCAACTATGAGAGACAAAATGAGAAAAAAAAACCAGAAAATCACATTGGTTAGTTAGTTATCAACTTTATTAATCCCACAAGGGGCAATTAAAGTAGGGTAGTAGCATCATATAACAAACTTAAAGGGATAGTTCACCCAAAAATGAAAATGTGATGTTTATCTGCTTACCCCCAGGGCATCCAAGATGTAGGTGACTTTGTTTATTCAGTAGAGCACATTTGATGATTTTTAACTCCAGCCGTTGCAGTCTATCAGTCTTATAATGCATGGCAATGGTAACAAAATCTATGAGAGTAAAAAAAACATGCACAGACAAATCCAAATTAAACCCT